GGGCCTTCCAGGAGGCAGGAGGGTAACAAGGAGGGGAGAGATGACCAACTTGCGGAATGCTCACTGGGAGGAGCGGGGGAAATGTGGGAGGGAGGGGGGAGGGGAACACGAGAGGGACCTGGCGGTTGGGGAGGCGGATGCAGCCGAGCAGCAGCAGCGAGGTGGCGGCGACGGCCAGCAGCAGCAGAGCGACGGCCATCTGCGCCGCCGCCATGGCGCCGCACGCCCACCGCTCGCCCGCCCAGCGCCACCGCGCGCGCGACACTGCCAGCGGCCGGGCGCCGGGGCTGGCCGCCTTGGCGGGCGGCATGGCGGCGTCGGCGGGGCGCCAGAGCCCCCCCGGGCGCTTAGCGGAGATGGCGACCCACGGCGACCCGTGCGCGTGGTGCATGCCCGGCGCTCCTCATTGACCCCCCATGCTGCCCACGGGAGAGGGGGTCATATGGGACAGCGGAAAACACGGGAGAGTGAGTGAGGCAGAGACACGGAAAGGGTAGAGTTAGGAGTAATGGAGAGATGGGAAAGGGTAAAGAAGGGAGTAAGGCAGAGAGGGGAAAAGGTAGAGAAAGGGGTAACGCATAGAGTAAAAAGGGAAGAGATGAGAGTTAGGGAGCGAGGGGAGAGACGAAAGTGAGAGGGGAGGAAAAGAGTGGGGAGGGGGAAGAAGGGCGTGAGGCAGAGACGGAAGTACAGAGAGGTGCAAGGGAGACATTTGAAAGGGGTTCTGTTTTGAGAGGGGGGGGAGGGAGGGGAGAGAAGGTGCTCTCCAAGGATGAGCACAGATGCGTTCAAGGGGCAAGGGAGGGCACGGGAGATGTTACATGGAAGTGGCACCTGCGGGGACCGGAGTTGCGAGGTGGTGGGGAGAGACACACAACACCGGAGGCTTATTCCCTCCCCTCCCCCCTCTCGCTGCGTATTCCCTCCTTCCCCCCCTCTCTCGCTGCTTATTCCTTTCCTCCCCCCCCCCTCCCGTCTCGCTGCTAATTCCCCCCTCTTCCCCCCACCGTCTCGCTGCGTATTCCCCCCCACCGTCTTGCTGCGTATTCCCCCCCTCTCCCCCCCACCGTCTCGCTGCGTATTCCCGTAACCCTTCTCGCTGCTAATCCCGCCTGTCCGTATCGCTGCGTATTGCCCCGTGCCCCATCTGCAATTTCCGCCCTGCATGCTCGCTGCTCATTCCGCGCCGCCGGCCTTCTCGCTGGTGTTTCCCCCGCTCCTTCTCGCTACCTCCCCCTCGCATATCGCTGCTCACCCTCTCGCGCTTTCTCGCTCGCATCCCCCACGCACCTCTGCGTTATCGCTGCTCTTTCGGGTCCGCGCCTCTCGCGTAATCGCTGCAGCCTCCAGTCCAGGCCACGCCCGTCGAATGCGGCTCACACCGGACCGCCTCTCGCGCGAAATCGCGAATCAACCCCGTCCGTGCCTCGCGGCTCCTCGGTGCTTTCTCGCGTTACCCTTTACGCAGTTTCCGCTACTACAACCTGTCCACCTAGCGCGCACAGGATGCTCAATAACCGCCCGACAGAATCTACAACCACACTGGCTTAGGTTTTAGCTAGCGCTATGGGTGGGAGGGTCGAGAAAGTGTAAATGGTCGTACGTGGGCAAGACACAAGGTCTGTTTTAGCGACTATGTTCTCAGCTGACTAGGTCTTACCTTGGGTCAGTCTGGTCCAGTATTGATGGTCTGTCGAGGGAAGTTGGGCTCTCATCTCACGGCAGTCCGCAAAGTCAATCAATAAATAATGAGAATGTGATTAAAGCCCAAGACCTGAATTACTCAACGGAAGTCAACTGAGTATTTCTAGGTTCGGCGGGCTGCCAGTTGGAGGTTCGGATGGGTTGAGTGACAGGCGAAGCCTCAAAAACACTTTGCGACTGAAAGTAGCTCGCCACAAACTCCCTACATGCTGATTGGTTGTAAAAAGCAGGCAGGGCCCTTCTTCCCAAACTCGACAAACCTGAGAAGCAACGTGCCAGGGAAACTGTGCACAGTTTGAGCAGCCACACATGCACTCGAACAAACATATTAAAGCCCGCGTCCCAAATTGCGGGCCGCGAGGGTCAAGTTTTTAAAACTTGACGGAGTTGAGTGTCCAAGCTTTTGAAAGTCACGCACTTGCAATTTGGGACTTTCGAAGACAGATTCACTCACCAGGGGGAAAACCGAGGGTTGGCTGGGTCTCGCGAAAAAAACGAACCTAGACGAAATCGGAAACTCTCGCCAAAGCCCACACCAGAAAAACTCCCTCTGGTCAACTTTTAAAAGCATGAACAATTTGGGCCGCCGGCTTTAATTGCTTAGTCCACTTCAGCAGGGCGCCACCTAGAAATACGCGGAATAGCCGTAGGGAGCGAATGTCCGTGTGGACTGGACCAGCAAAGTGCGATGCTTAGGGTGAGGATAGAGGAGGCTGTTACTAAATGCCAGTGCGGGCGTGAGTTAGCGAGACACATCGAGGCCTGAACTGGCGATTTATTCAGAGAGTCTAAAAGTATAGGCTAATACACAAACACTCGACCACGCTCGCTTCCCATATGTCACAGGGCGGACGTATCCATCGTCTGCAATGCGTAGCCATCTTACGCCGCGCGTCGGAGCCGATTAGAAACAAACGCGCTAGAGACAGCCTCAGCATCTTGCCTCCCGCCCTGCCCGGGAAATCCCCTCCCCGCCATTTGGTCGCGCCTGCCTTTCACATATCGCATGGTGAGAAGCTTCCCGTCGCCCTCATTCCATCTTCCCGTCGCCCTCATTCCATCTTCCCGTCGCCCTCATTCCATCTTCCTGTCGCCCTCATTCCATCTTCCCGACGCCCCCATTTCCCTTCCCGTCGCCCTCAATTCCCTTCCCGTCGCACTCATTTCCCGACCCGGCGCACTTATTTCCCTTCCCGTCGCCCTCATTTCCCGTCCCGTCGCCCTCATTTCCCTTCCCGTCGCACTCATTTCCCTTCCCGTCGCCCTCATTTCCCTTCCCGTCACCCCCCATTACCCTTCCCGTCGCAAACATTACCCTTCCCGTCGCCCTCATTTCCCTTCCCGTCGCACTCATTTCCCTCGAGTCCTCCCTCCCCCTCATCCGCCCTTCCTCCACCTCTCCATCCTCTCATCCTCCCTTCATCTCATCCTCCCTTCCTCTTATCCGCCCTTCCTCTCATCCTCCTTTCCTCTCATCCACCCTTCCTCTCATCCTCCCTTCTCTCATCCTGTCTCCCTCTCATCCTCTCTTCCTCTCATCCGCCCTGCGTCTCGACCTTCCTTCCTCTCGTCCTATATCAGGCAGAAAAACAAGAGAGAGAGAGGGGTTAGGGAGTGAAAGGGGAGGGGGCGGGGGGGCTTCGGTTTCGGATTACGTAAGTCACTGAAGTGAGTTGGATGTGAAGGGGAGGGTGGGCAGGTCAGGAACTGCACGACAGGTCCGGCAGCTGGACGAGGGAAGGAGACCGTATAGTTGGTCCTCCGGATCGGAGGACCATGAGAACGAACTCTGATAAGGTTTGGAGCAGCGTAGCAAAGGAAGAAAGGGGTGCCAAACCAAAACCACGAGTGAAGGTAGGGGTGCTGGGAAATAAAGGGGCGTGGACTTACAGCGCAAGGACTGAAGCCGGGTTCACAGGCCGCTGTGAAGCAAAGGAAGAAAGGGGAAGAGAGAGGAATGGGAGGGGACGGGGCAATTGCGGATGGGAAAGAGGAGAAGTGAGAGGAATAGTGGTACTATGTGTGCGCCGGTGACGGGAGAGGAATAGGAGGGGACGGGGCAAGTGCGGATGGGAAAGAGGGGTTTGCAGTTTTAATTACAAAGAGGTTCGGAGGATGGCAAGGGAGAGATGGCAGATGGGAAGTAAGGCTAATCAGAAACTCAGGATGCGAGGGTGCTGCGATGGAAGAGAGGAGAGGTGGGATGGAAGGGATTGAGGATGGGCAACCCAGAAAGGGGACGGCATGGGAGCTAGAATGGCACCCACGGCAACTCGGTATAATGCAGGGGGATTTCCAACATGGGAAGGCGGTGAGGGTGCTCGCGTATGAGCTTGTGGGACGCGGGGACCCTAAACCCCTAAACTAATGTGAGAGAAGTAGGAAAGAGAGAGTGATGGTTCAGTGTGGAAAAGGGCAATGGGACGGCTAATAGGGGTGATGGAAAGTAGTGTTAAGGGGCTGTGATTTGGAGGAAAGATAAGGCAGGGAGAGCACGAGAGGAATGAAGCATCAACCGAGGGACCATATTGAACCTGTGTGGGCAGGAAGATTAGGGATGGAGACTGTGTAATAGGTTCTTGAAATGGGACGGCTGGGGGTTGGGAAGGTAGGGGTGCACAGATGGAAGGGGGGAGGGCTCCCATCTAAAGAACCGGCGTCGGGTGCACGGGCGCTTGAGTAGCAACAGAAGATCGGGGCGAGTGAGCTGGCGTAGTAGGGGACGCGGGAAGTGCGGATGTGAGGGAGGGAATTGCAGAATTGATGTCAAGGTGCTGTGGATGGCTAGTGATGGATGTCAGATTTGAAGACATAATACTCAGAAACTATGAATAATGAGGTGGGAATCCCAATGTGGGGAAGCTGTGAGGAGGGTGGTGTCAGAACATTTGGGATGCGAGGCAAAAAATAGGGTGATAAACAGGGAGGGAGGGTGACAGTTGAGTGGGATGGAAGGGAGTGAGGGGGCAAAGATGAGTAGAGGGGGACAAGAGGAGCAGAGGAGGGAAAGAGGAGCAGAGAGCGAAGGAGCCTTACAGGAGAAAAGTGGAGCTGGGCGGAAAAAGAGGGGCATAGGGGGAACAGCGGAGCTTCGGGTTGGAAGTGGTGCAGAAAGGAGAAGGACCAGCGGAAGGGGGTAAGATGAGCATAGGGGGACAAGAGGAGCAGAGGGGGAGCGAGGGCGTACATGTGGGAAATAGAGGGCGTGCAACGAGGGTTTTCTGCGGGCGTGCAGGGGGACTGCGGAAGCACCGCCGTTGCAAGAGTGTGGGCGGGGTTGAGGGCAAAAGACGCGATCAGCGACGCCAACGGAGGCTGTCGCGAGACGCGGAGGCAGCGTGGAAAGAGAAGGTGAAGTCCCTCACGCCTCCTAGATCCTCACTGTTGGTGATTTGGAGGAAAGGAGGACGCAATGTGAGTAGAAAGGTGGACGCGCGGTGAGTTGAAAGGAGGACGCAAGGTGAGGAGAGAGGAGGACGCGAGGTGAGGAGAGAGGAGGACGCGAGGTGAGGAGAGAGGAGGACGTGAGGTGAGGAGAGAGGAGGACGTGAGGTGAGGAGAGAGGAGGACGTGAGGTGAGGAGAGAGGAGCACGCAAGGTGAGGAGAGGGGAGGACGCGAGGTGAGGAGAGAGGAGGACGCGAGGTGAGGAGAGAGGAGGACGCGAGGTACAGGAAAGAGGTGCACGCATGGTGTGGAGAGAGGAGCACGTGAGGGGAGGCGAGAGGAGCACGCTAGGGATGGTGAGAGGAGGACGCGCGGGGAGGCAAGAGGAGCGCGTGCGGGGGGGCGATAGGATGCCGCGCGAGTGGCGAGAAGAGCGCACGCGGGAGGCGAGAGGATCTCGCGCGGGCTTACCAGGCAGGTGCGCGCGCTGGGAGGAGAAACGTGTGCGTGTGCACGGGATTCCCGAGTGAGGAAACGTGGGCGCCCCTGTCAGGATAGTGGGAAGTGGTAGGGACCCGCATACGTCGAAACTGGGTGGTAGCGGAGCCATTTCACGAAGCGTCGCAAGGAGACGGTCCCTCCCTTTAATCCAGTATGGTCGCATGTATTGTGAGGAGAGAGGCGCACGCAAGGTGAGGAGAGAGGAGCACGCAAGGTGAGGAGAGAGGAGGCCTCAAGGTGAGGAGAGAGGAGCACACAAGGTGAGGATAGAGGAGCACGCAAGGTGAGGATAGAGGAGCACGCAAGGTGAGGATAGAGGAGCACGCAAGGTGAGGAGAGGGGAGCACGCAAGGTGAGGAGAGGGGAGCACGCAAGGTGAGGAGAGGGGAGAACGCAAGGTGAGGAGAAGGGAGCACGCAAGGTGAGGAGAGGGGAGCACGCAAGGTGAGGAGAGGGGAGCACGCAAGGTGAGGAGAGGGGAGCACGCAAGGTGAGGAGAAGGGAGAACGCAAGGTGAGGAGAGGGGAGCACGCAAGGTGAGGAGAGGGGAGCACGCAAGGTGAGGAGAGGGGAGCACGCAAGGTGAGGAGAGGGGAGAACGCAAGGTGAGGAGAGGGGTGCATGCAAGGTGAGGAGAGGGAGCACGCAAGGTGAGGAGAGGGGAGCACGCAAGGTGAGGAGAGGGGAGCACGCAAGGTGAGGAGAGGGGAGCACGCAAGGTGAGGAGAGGGGAGCACGCAAGGTGAGGAGAGGGAGCACGCAAGGTGAGGAGAGGGGAGCATGCAAGGTGAGGAGAGGGGAGCACGCAAGGTGAGGAGAGGGGAGCACGCAAGGTGAGGAGAGGGAGAACGCAAGGTGAGGAGAGGGAGCACGCAAGGTGAGGAGAGGGGAGCACGCAAGGTGAGGAGAAGGGAGCACGCAAGGTGAGGAGAGGGGAGCACGCAAGGTGAGGAGAGGGGAGCACGCAAGGTGAGGAGAGGGGAGCACGCAAGGTGAGGAGAGGGGAGCACGCAAGGTGAGGAGAGGGGAGCACGCAAGGTGAGGAGAGGGAGCACGCAAGGTGAGGAGAGGGGAGCACGCAAGGTGAGGAGAGGGGAGCACGCAAGGTGAGGAGAGGGGAGCACGCAAGGTGAGGAGAGGGAGCACGCAAGGTGAGGAGAGGGGAGCACGCAAGGTGAGGAGAGGGGAGCCCACGCAGGGTGAGGAGAGGGGAGCACGCAAGGTGAGGAGAGGGAGCACGCAAGGTGAGGAGAGGGGAGCACGCAAGGTGAGGAGAGGGGAGCACGCAAGGTGAGGAGAGGGGAGCACGCAAGGTGAGGAGAGGGGAGCACGCAAGGTGAGGAGAGGGGAGCACGCAAGGTGAGGAGAGGGGAGCACGCAAGGTGAGGAGAGGGGAGCACGCAAGGTGAGGAGAGGGGAGCACGCAAGGTGAGGAGAGGGGAGCACGCAAGGTGAGGAGAGGGGAGCACGCAAGGTGAGGAGAGGGAGCACGCAAGGTGAGGAGAGGGGAGCACGCAAGGTGAGGAGAAGGGAGCACGCAAGGTGAGGAGAGGGGAGCACGCAAGGTGAGGAGAGGGGAGCACGCAAGGTGAGGAGAGGGGAGCACGCAAGGTGAGGAGAGGGGAGCACGCAAGGTGAGGAGAGGGGAGCACGCAAGGTGAGGAGAGGGAGCACGCAAGGTGAGGAGAGGGGAGCACGCAAGGTGAGGAGAGGGGAGCACGCAAGGTGAGGAGAGGGGAGCACGCAAGGTGAGGAGAGGGAGCACGCAAGGTGAGGAGAGGGGAGCACGCAAGGTGAGGAGAGGGGAGCCCACGCAGGGTGAGGAGAGGGGAGCACGCAAGGTGAGGAGAGGGAGCACGCAAGGTGAGGAGAGGGGAGCACGCAAGGTGAGGAGAGGGGAGCACGCAAGGTGAGGAGAGGGGAGCACGCAAGGTGAGGAGAGGGGAGCACGCAAGGTGAGGAGAGGGGAGCACGCAAGGTGAGGAGAGGGGAGCACGCAAGGTGAGGAGAGGGAGCACGCAAGGTGAGGAGAGGGGAGCACGCAAGGTGAGGAGAGGGGAGCACGCAAGGTGAGGAGAGGGGAGCACGCAAGGTGAGGAGAGGGAGCACGCAAGGTGAGGAGAGGGGAGCACGCAAGGTGAGGAGAGGGGAGCCCACGCAGGGTGAGGAGAGGGGAGCACGCAAGGTGAGGAGAGGGAGCACGCAAGGTGAGGAGAGGGGAGCACGCAAGGTGAGGAGAGGGGAGCACGCAAGGTGAGGAGAGGGGAGCACGCAAGGTGAGGAGAGGGGAGCACGCAAGGTGAGGAGAGGGGAGCACGCAAGGTGAGGAGAGGGGAGCACGCAAGGTGAGGAGAGGGGAGCACGCAAGGTGAGGAGAGGGGAGCACGCAAGGTGAGGAGAGGGGAGCACGCAAGGTGAGGAGAGGGGAGCACGCAAGGTGAGGAGAGGGGAGCACGCAAGGTGAGGAGAGGGGAGCACGCAAGGTGAGGAGAGGGGAGCACGCAAGGTGAGGAGAGGGGAGCACGCAAGGTGAGGAGAGGGGAGCACGCAAGGTGAGGAGAGGGGAGCACGCAAGGTGAGGAGAGGGGAGCACGCAAGGTGAGGAGAGGGAGCACGCAAGGTGAGGAGAGGGAGCACGCAAGGTGAGGAGAGGGGAGCACGCAAGGTGAGGAGAGGGGAGCACGCAAGGTGAGGAGAGGGGAGCACGCAAGGTGAGGAGAGGGGAGCACGCAAGGTGAGGAGAGGGGAGCACGCAAGGTGAGGAGAGGGAGCACGCAAGGTGAGGAGAGGGAGCACGCAAGGTGAGGAGAGGGGAGCACGCAAGGTGAGGAGAGGGGAGCACGCAAGGTGAGGAGAGGGGAGCACGCAAGGTGAGGAGAGGGGAGCACGCAAGGTGAGGAGAGGGAGCACGCAAGGTGAGGAGAGGGGAGCACACAAGGTGAGGAGAGGGGAGCCCACGCAGGGTGAGGAGAGAGGGGCACGTGCAAGGTTGGCGATCGAAGAGCATTGGAGGTGAGGAGAGAGGGGCACGCGCGGGGAGGCGAGTGTCAGAATATTATGCTCTAGCCTGTAGTGGGGTGCTCTATAGCGAGTACAACCCTTCTAGGGTTTGCTATTTGTATCCTCATTCTTGCTAGTGCAACTCCTCCTTTTTTGCCTAAACTTCTCTTGCCTAGCTAGGACTTACCTAGCTATGGTGCCTTCTTCTACTGCTTATCTTCACATGGTATTAGAGCGATATGCTCCTGGCCTGTGGGCCCCACCTCACTGCTTCCGCTGCTACTGCTACTCCCTGTCCGCCGCGCGCCCCGTGGTGCGCGGCGTCGAAATTAGGGTTTTTCAGCCCGCCGTGCGCCCCGAGGCGCGCGGCGGTTTTCTGCCCGCCGTGCGCCCCGAGGCGCGCGGCGGTTTTCTGCCCGCCGTGCGCCCCGAGGCGCGCGACGGGTTTCTGCCCCGTCACTCGGCGCGTCGCCCCCAGGAGGCGCTACGACGGGCGACGGGGACCCGCGCGTCGCCCCCCGTCGCCCGTCGTGGCCTGCGCGCGGCCCGTACAGCCGGCGCGCGGCCCGTACGGGCTGCGCCAGGCCCGCGCGCGGCCCGTACGGGCTGCGCCAGGCCCGCGCGCGGCCCGTACGGGCTGCGCCAGGCCCGCGCGCGGCCCGTACGGGCTGCGCCAGGCCCGCGCGCGGCCCGTACGGGCTGCGCCAGGCCCGCGCGCGGCTCGGGCCGCCTGCGCGCGGTTCGGGAGGCTGTGCCAGGCCCGTGGGCGGCCCGTTCTTCGCTGCCCCTGTCCTCCCCGCTGTCCCCCGTGCTTCTGAAGGCGCCCCACCCCTCCTTCTGCCCGTTCTCCTGGATTAGGGTTTGGGGGTGGGGAGTATGGGGGTGCAGCTTCTGTGTGCCGTTCCCTGCTCCTCCTCCTCCTCCGTCTCCCTGTGCTGCAGCTGCCGCTGAGGGGGGGTGGACCTGTTGGAGCCGTCGGAGTGGTACTAAGGGGGGGTGAAGGGGGAGTGGAGCTAGGGGTGAAGCAGGGGGTGTGTGTCAGGGGGGGTGGTACTGTTTGGGGGAGGTTGAACGGAGGTTGCCGTCGTGTCGCCAGCAGCACCTGTAGTCCGGGGAGTTGCTCCGGTAGCCCAGTCGTAGCCACCTGTGCCAGTCGCCCGTGGGTCCGTTGCTCGTCTGCCGCTACTTTTAGCCGCGGGGCCAGTTACTCCAGTAGTCCGGAGCGCTGTTCCGGTAGCCGCTGTGCCAGTGTGCCTCCTGTTGCCCGTGTGTCTGCAGCTTCAGCCGTCGCCTCCTATCTCCTCTCCTCTCACTGTCCCTCCTCCTCCTTACTTGCCCGTTGTGACTACCACTAGCTTTGCTCATAATTGTGAACTTTAAACTATTGCTTCCTGAACTTGTGCTCAGAATGTGTGGTGACATTGTGATCCACCCTGAGCTTGTTCTGCTTTCCTTGCTCTGCTGATTACACCCCACTTTGGCTATGGGGGTGTGTCAGAATATTATGCTCTAGCCTGTAGTGGGGTGCTCTATAGCGAGTACAACCCTTCTAGGGTTTGCTATTTGTATCCTCATTCTTGCTAGTGCAACTCCTCCTTTTTTGCCTAAACTTCTCTTGCCTAGCTAGGACTTACCTAGCTATGGCGCCTTCTTCTACTGCTTATCTTCACAGCGAGAGGAGCACGCAGGGTGAGGAGTGAGGAGCACGCACGGGGAGGCGTGGGAGGCATGCAAGGTGAAGAGAGAGGAGAACGAGTAGGTGAGGAGAGAGGAGCACGCGCGGGGAGGCTTGAGGGGCGCGCGAGGGGAGGCGAGAGGAGAACGAGTAGGTGAGGAGAGAGGAGCACGCGCGGGGGGGCTTGAGGGGCGCGCGAGGGGAGGCGAGAGGAGAACGAGTAGGTGAGGAGAGAGGAGCACGCGCGGGGAGGCTTGAGGGGCGCGCGAGGGGAGGCGAGAGGAGAACGAGTAGGTGAGAAGAGAGGAGCACGCGCGGGGAGGCGAGAGGGGCGCGCGAGGGATGGCGGGAGGAGGCTGCGCGGGGAGGCGAGAGGCGGCCGCGCGGGGAGGCAAGAGATTCGCGAGCATTGAAGGCGAGAGGAGCACGCGAGGGGAGGCGAGAGGAGCACGCGCGGGATGGTGAGAGGAGGCCGAGCGGGGCGGTAAGAGGAGCGCGCGCTGGGATGCGATGGGATACCGCGCGGAAGGCGAGAAGAGCGCGCGCGGGGTGGCGAGAGGTTCCCGCGCGGGCTTACCGGAACGGTGCGCGCGCAGGGAGGAGAAACGTGGGCTTGAGAAACGGGCTTCCCGCGCGTGGAATCGTGGGCCTGACTGTCAAGATAGCGGGGCGTTGTGGGGACACGACGACGCTGAAAGTGGGTGGTCGCGGAGTGGTGCACGAAGCGCCGCAATGGGGCACGACGACGAGGAAGCGATGGGAGGGGATAGGGGTAAGGACGATGGGAGGGCAATGGCGACGGGGACCACGGGGGAAACGAGGGTGACGGTGCGTCAAGGGGGAGGCCGATGTGAGGGGATTTCCTCCCTACGCCTCTTGATCCTGTTTAGCGCGACGTCTCGTAATATGGGATTCGAGCATTTTACGCTTGTGACGAGCGCATTCCTAAATTTCGTGTTGCATCGGGGTTGAAGGTGGGAATGTGCTAGGGGCAAAAGCTTAGAGTCTCGCTTAGTAGCCGCACAGGCATTCCTGAATTACCATTTCTAGGCAAACTGTGCACAGGCAGTTCCCTTCTTCCTTCAGCAAGGGTGGTTGGAACTCTCGCCAAGTTGAAGCGTTCTGCTCTACGACGCGGTCTTTGTGGGGTGCGACGTTTTCTGGTAACCCCACTGGCTCGGGAGGTGTTCATTGGGCTCGGAAGGCAAACTGTGCACAGTTTGCCCTTTTTGATCTGTAATTCAGGTCTTGGGCTTTAAAACCCGCAGGCCACAACTTTCAAGCTTAGGAAGGTTGGTTGGGTAGGAACTTACTATTGGCCAGCGAGGTCTGGGAGTGTCGAAGACGTTGGACGATGTTCGCGTGCTAAATCATTTTCGCCCGAGTTACCCGAAGTCTAGTGCGACAGACACACCCCCAACAATCGATCGCCCAGACCCCCATACGACCAGTCACCACACCCCAGCTCAACATTTCGTCCATCGAGAACACACCACTCCGATGACCTCAGGGCGTGTCCAGCGCGTACATTTACAGTTCATAAACCCATTCAGTTACCACATTTCCTATTGTAACACTGCATTTTAGAAAAATGTTGGACACGATCAGCTTCCGTTCACAAGACGGCACGCCCGCTGCGCGTACGACGAATCGTCTAACAGACGTTACTGGAATCAGTGTGTGCGCGAACAAGGGTACAGCATTGCGTCCTGCCCGCTACAGTAATTTTCGTTCAAGCGTGGAATTTTCGCTTGTGCGTGAATTTCTGTGCGATGATAGACGAGGCAACCAGTTACCTCGTTTTCCACGAACTGTAGAAATTTGTGTGCAGAGGGTTGTGTCCGCGCGCTGGAAGGCCCAATCCTTCGGACTCGACTCACCTTATATTCGTTTTTTGGTACAGTGAGATTTTTTGAGCCGGGAAACGTGTGAAGGTACTAATATTCCCAAAATGTACGCGCTGGACACGCCCTAAGTAAGCGGAAGTAGTAGCTATTCATCATAGTCCGTCCAAGGGCCTCTGCCGGACTGTCACCTGTTTCACGAGATACGAATGTGCATGCGAAGAAAGGGAGCGTCCAGCTTTTCCCTCGATAACAGCGACATTTATGCCTAGGATAACGCGGCGCGCTTGCGAGTACAGCAGGCACATTCAAGCCGCCAACTGCTTACCACCTACATTCCCTACCCTCACCTTGCCATTGCGGTTTGCTCACGCCGCGAGCAAGTTCCGCTACGATTGAATGCGGTGGTGGCGCCACGATTCGGAACTCCAAACGCCGCTAATCGGTAGTCCTCACACCTCGATGCCCCCTTCCTCTCGGTCGAGCACGCCCCGTCCCATTCGCGTCCATGCGATTCAAAATAAGATCGGACCGCATTTTTGTTACTCTCACGCTGATGCATATGAAATCCTTCACGCCACTGCACCACTATCCCCTCACACCTCAATTTCCGGACATCGCTAACGTCCCACTGACTCCCGTCGTTCCCGCAACCTGCACCAGGGTTTGCGTCAACTGTCACACTTCGCTGATGCCCCACCCTTTACCTCTCTTCACTTCCCCCTCCCGTTGCTCTTCACTTCCCCCTCCCGTCACCTCCACATCCCCCTCCCGACGCCTTCACTTTTCCCCTCCTGCCGCTCTTCCCTTTTCCCTCCCGTCTCCTTCACTTCCCCCTCCCGTCGCTCTTCACTTCCCCCGCCCGTCGACTTCACTTCCCTCTCCCATCGCCCGCGCTCCCCCCTCCCATCGCCCTGCTCGTTCTCCCGTCGCCCTCTCTTCCCCGGCTCACCCTGTTTCCCCTGCTCCTTCTCTTCCCTCCGTCCCCCTCTGTATGTCTCCCCTGCTCATTCTCTTCCCCCTCTCCCCCCCAATCCCCCACCCACTCTTCCTCAAGTTGTTGGTTCACTTGCGCTAACGCCTCCTGCACCAATGCTCCCCTTTTTCCCACTCCCACCATCCCGTTCCCACTCCCACCATCCCTCTTCCCTCCTCACCTCCTCGCGTCCTCACTCACCACGACCTCTGCCACTCGCGCGGCGCCACGCTTCCTCCTCCTCCGCACCGCACCAGCCTCCACCGCACTCCACTCCTCCTCCACGCCCTCACGCCCCGCCCTGCGGCTAGCTGTGGTTACAAGCAGCAGTATCCCTCACACACCTCCACCTCTCCTCTGCTGCTGTCTCTGACGCCCTTGTGTTACACCTCGCCCACCCCCGTCCCCACACGGTATGCCAGCTCCTCACCACTCTCCACCGCACTCTACTCCCCTCCACGCACACACAACCCGCCCTGCGAGCTGAAGTGGTTAAAAGCAGCAGTATCACCCTCACACACCTTGATCTCTCCAGCTCACTCTGTCTCCCCTGCTCATTCTCATCCCGCCGGCTCACTTTGTTTCCCCGCACGCTTCCAATCCCTTCCCGTCAACCCTGCCGTTACCCTCTCTCCCGCTCCCATTTCCTTCCCCGACACCCACCCGTGAGGGGTTGAAATGTTCCACCCGTCCCCCAATCCCACCCGTCCATTCCCCCACTCCCCCCGTCCTTTCCCCCACTCTCCCTCGCCCTTTTCCTTACAATAATCCTCCCTTTCCCCGACGCCAACCCTCCCTTTCCCCCACGCTAATGCTCCCTTTTCCCCATGCCAACCCTCCCCTTCCCCCACGCCAATCTTCTCTTTCCCCTACGCTAATCCTCCCTTTCCCTCAATACCACCCGCCCTTTCCCCCTTTGCTCACCCCTCTACCTTGTCCACTCCTCCCATACTGTCAAATGTTATTATAGGTTCTTAGGCTACAGTGAGTAGCACTCTAGGGAGTACAACACTTTTAGGGTTGCTATTTGTATCCCTTGTTTCCCTAGTTCACACATTCCGTTGTTCGCTAACTTTGAGATGGTATCATGAGTAGGTGTCGATCCTCTCGCCTAGCCTAGCTAGCGCCCTAGCGCCCTCCGCACCCTTGCGCCCTCCGCACCCTTGCGCCCTCCGCGCCCTCCGCGCCCTCCGCGCCCTCCGCGCCCTCCGCGCCTTAGCCTCCGCGCCCTCCGCGCCCTCCGCGCCATCTCCGCGCCTTAGCGCCCTCCTCCTCCGCGCGTTAGAGCCCTCAGCGCCCCTAGCCTGCGCCCCTAGCCCGTCGCCCAGGCGCCCGCCCTAGCCCGACGCCCAGGCGCCCGCCCTAGCCCGACGCCCAGGCGCCCGCCCTAGCCCGTCGCCCAGGCGCCCGCCCTAGCCCGTCGCCCAGGCGCCCGCCCTAGCCCGTCGCCCAGGCGCCCGCCCCAGCCCGTCGCCCAGGCGCCCGCACCAGCCCGTCGCCCAGGCGCCCGCCCCAGCCCGTCGCCCAGGCGCCCGCCCCAGCCCGTCGCCCAGGCGCCCGCCCTAGCCCGTCGCCCAGGCGCCCGCCCTAGCCCGTCGCCCAGGCCCGCGCCCTAGCCCGTCGCCCAGGCGCCCGCCCTAGCCCGTCGCCCAGGCGCCCGCCCTAGCCCGTCGCCCAGGCCCGCGCCCTAGCCCGTCGCCCAGGCGCCCGCCCTAGCGCGTCGCCCAGGCGCCCGCTTTAGCCCGTCGCCCCAGCCCGCGCCCTGGCCCGTCGCCCCAGCCCCGCAGGCAGCGCGCCGCGCGGGCAGCGCGCCCCGCGGGTAGCGCGCCCCGCAGGCGGCGCGCCCCGCGGGTAGCGCGCCCCGCAGGCAGCACACCCTGCAGGCAGCGCGCCCCGGAGCGCTTTAGCGCCAGAAAATAAATAAATAAATAAATAAAAATAAACCCTAAAAAAAAAAAAAAAAAAAAAAAAAAAAGGGTTTCGGGTGGGGGCTTGCAACTGTCGGCCGCAGTCCTGCTTGCCGGACGACCTGCACAGTTGCCTGCATCTCGCAGCCGTCAGTACTGCAGCCCCTACTGTCGCACGTACGTTGCACTGCCAGTGGCTCTACTAGCGGCAGCCGACAGCCGCACCTACGGTCTCTAGCTCAAGCCGTTCCTACCTCCAGCCAGCCCTAGCTCGCCGTTTCTAGCTCCAGCCAGTTGTGCTCCAGCCGTTCTCGCTCCAGCCGTTCTCGCTCCTCGCTCGTAGCTCAGTTTGCTCCGTACTCCAGCCGTTCCTCGCCTAGTTTCACCTGTCGCTCCTAGCCTGCCGCTCCTGCACCCCGCTAGCTTTTATCATGGAGTCCACTAGGGTTCTCCAGCAGCAGGGACAGCAGCAGTGGCCGTTTCAGCAGTGGCTTCCGCAGCAGCAGGGGCGCCCTCAGCAGCTGTGGCGCCCTCAGCAGCCGTGGGGGCCTGGTGGTTCAGGTCGCGTTGGCTGCAGCAGCGGCCCAGCCAGCTGGGGGGCTCGTCGCGGTGGCCGCGACGTCGGCCCCTGCCAGTACCGGATCCTGACCGGCCCTGGCGCTGGCACTACCTGCTGGCGTCCTGACCACTCTGCACAGCGCTGCTACAGCCGCCTCGACGACCTTTACCGTGAGCGTTTTGGGCCTGAGTCGGCTCCCTTGATCTGGCCCGGTCTGTTTCGTAGTGGTTACCCTGTGTTTGATATGTCTATGGAAGCTGTTTATTCTGTCACGTACGGATCTCTTGGCTTACGTGTACCTAGCTTAGGACCTTTGCCTGTTGCTAGTGTCGGTACTTGTGCTTTTAGTGTAGGTGCTTGTGTAGTCCTGGCTGATCCTACTTCAGGACCAGCAGTTGCTCGCAGCTCGACCACCCTCCCGTGCCCAGCTGTCCCCTCTGGTTTCCTCACTGGTCTCTACATCCCCTCGTTCTCTCGGAACTTGGTGGGTGTTGGATACCTTCAGGACCGGGGGATCACAGTCACTTTTCCTGCGCACGGGAGGACTGCGATCTGTACGGACTCTTCCACCGGGGCAGTTCTTGCCACGTTCACCAGAGAGCCCCACTCAGGTCTCTTCGTCCTGCACACTCCGCCCCCGCAGGTAGCTGCGTCTGGTCAGGTTGCTTCGTCCCCCCCGGTAGCAGAGTCCGGTCAGGTTACTGCGTCCCCACCGGTTGCTGTGTCCGGTCAGGTTGCTGTGTCCGGTCAGGTTGCTGTGTCCGGTCTAGTTGCTGCGTCTTGCTCGTGTCGGTCTTTCACCCACCGGACCGTCTTGTGGCACCACCGTCTTGGCCACGCGTCGATCCCCCGCCTCCGCACTATGGCTGGTCACCGTCTTGTCTCAGGTCTCCCTCGCGTCTTCCCGTCGCTCCCTCCCTCGCCTGCGCCGCCGTGCACTCCTTGCGTCGCCGGCCGTCTTCGTGCCACTCCGCACTCCTCCTCCCTTCGTCCGGCCACTGCTCCCTTCCAGACACTCCACTTGGATGTCTGGGGCCCTGCACCTATGCAGGGACCTGAGAGGGAGCGCTACTTTCTGGTGGTCGGTACACCACGGTGTTTCCTCTCGCGAAGAAGTCCGAGGTGACTTCTACGCTGATCCGGTGGCTTCTAGCCACTGAGGGCACTCGTGGCCGTCGTGTCTCCTGTCTCCACTCTAGTCCTGGGGGTGCTGGAGCTGGAGGTGCTGGCGCAGGTGGCGCTAGCTCTGGGGGTGCTGGAGCTGGAGGTGCTGGCACTGGAGGTGCTAGTTCTGGGGGTTCAGCAGCAGCAGCAGCAGCAGCAGCAGCAGCAGCAGCCGCCGCCGCCGCCGCCGCCGCCGCAGCAGCCGCCGCCGCCGCCGCAGCCGCCGCCGCAGCTGCGACCACATCAGCTCCCTCTGGAGCGGCAGTTGTTCCCACCCGTGAGTGGCCTTCGGGCCCTTGGTCTTCCCTCCTCTCCTCGTGTTCACACTCCGTTCCCTCCAGCGTTTGGTCCCACGTTTCCTCCTCCTGACGACAGTCCGGCGGTCTGGTCTTCTCCTCTACCGCAGTCTCCTCCACCTGTTGTCCCACACTCTCGTGTCCGTCCCTGTCCTCCGCGTGCTCGTCACTCGTCTCCCGTTACCGACCTCCGCACTGCCCTCCTTTGTTCGTCTCTTCGTCGTCCTCCTCCTGAGTCCGTTCTCCCGTCTCCGCCTCCGTCCTCTCTCCCTTTCCCCCCTACTCCTGTCACTGACTACTACCGCGCTGTTCGTCCTGTTGTCTCTCGTGTCCTCGCCACTCTTGTCACCGACTCTCGTTTCCCTCCGTCGTCTGTCTCGGCTCTCACTGCCGCTGTCGCTGAGTTTGCTGCCGCCAGTCGCCTTGACTACACCACCCGTGTGGTGCCAGCTCCTCCCTCCCGTCCTCTGTCCGTCGGGGGTGGGTTTGCCCTTGGCTGTGACGTCCTAGAGGACAGAGAGTCTGAGCTGGAGTACTGGGCAGCCGCTTCCCCCTCTGTCTGTGCCATGCTGCTATCCCCTGAGGGAGACCCCGACGCCCTTGACATACCGACTCCTCGCACTTACCGCGAGGCAGTGTCAGGGGCGTGGGCCTCACAGTGGAAAGCGGCTATGGCCTCGGAGTTAGTGTCTTGGAGATCTACAGGCACGTACGTCGACGCAGTTCCCCCTCCCAGGGCGAACGTAGTCGATGGCATGCGGCTCTTCAAGGTGAAGCGGCCGCCTGGATCACCGCCTGTGTTCAAGGCGCGCTACGTGGCTAGGGGTTTCAGTCAGCGTGAGGGAGTTGACTATTTCCAGACCTTCGCCCCGACCCCGAAGATGACTACTCTTCGGGTGTTACTGCACGTAGCAGCACAGCGAGACTACGAGCTGCACTCCCTTGACTTCTCTACTGCGTTTCTCCAGGGCCGACTACACGAGGAGATCTGGCTGCGCCGCCCTCCTGGCTTCACTGACACCTTCCCACCTGGGACCCAGTGGAGCCTGAGACGGCTAGTCTACGGTCTCCGCCAGTCGCCCCGTGAGTGGCACGACACTCTTCGCTCCACGCTTCGTGACCTTGGGTTTTGTCCTTTCCTCTGCCGACCCGTCGCTGTTTGTTCGCACTGGTTCCACTCCTTTCTTTATACTAGTGTACGTCGACGACTTGGTCTTTGCCACAGCAGACAGGGCAGCTCTAGCTCAGGTGAAGTCCGAACTGCAGAAGAGACACACGTGCACTGACCTAGGTGAACTGCAGCGCTACCTTGGCCTGCAGATCACCAGGGACAGAGCCGCTCGCACCATCACACTGACTCAGTCACACATGGTGCAGCAGGTCCTTCGGCGGTTCGACTTCCAGTTCTCCACCACACAGCCCACACCTCTTGCTGTTGACCACAGACTCACTGGCCCCTTTCCCGACGAGCCTTTTGAGTCCAGTGGTCCCTACGCAGAGCTGGTGGGCTGCCTCATGTACCTGATGACTTGTACTCGGCCGGACCTCGCCTTTCCCCTCAGCGTCCTCTCTCGCTTTGTTGTGACTGGGAGACACCGTCCTGTCCACTGGACAGCTGCTGTGAGGGTGGCGAAGTACCTGGCGACTACATCAGGCATGGGGCTTGTGCTTGGAGGGACTCAGCCAGTGGCGTTGACTGGTCACTGCGACTCTTCCTACGCTGACGACGTGGAGACTCAGCGCTCGACTCAGGGTTACTACTTCAGTTTGGGTGCTGGTGCTGTGTCGTGGAGGTCTACACGGTCGTCGTCTGTGGCTACTTCCAGTGCAGAGGCAGAGATATACGCTGGTGCCATGGCGGCACAGGAGCTTCGCTGGTTGACCTTCTTGCTCGCCGACCTTGGTGAGCGGCCTCGCTCTGCACCGACCTTGTACGCTGACAACAAGGCCATGATCCTCCTGTGTCGAGAGCCTCGACTGGAGAGCAGAGTGAAGCATATTGACATGAGGTACTTCCTTCTGCGAGAGCTACAGCGACGCGGCCAGGCACGCCTGGACTTTGTGGCCTCAGAGGCCAACACTGCAGACGTCTTCACCAAGGCCCTGGCGCTTGGTGACCACCACAGGTTCTGTGTGCAGTTGGGGCTTGTTGAGGTAGGCCCTCGGTTGCTGTAGACTTGCTGTTTGCTCTGCTTGTTGTGCTTTGCTATATATATCCTAGTGAACTCTTGAACTGGCCTTGTGGCCGCTTGCTTGTGCTCGGAATTTGTGTGGTGTCCTTGAGATCCACCCTGAGCTTGCTTTGCTTCTTGCATTGACTGGTCTTGTGACCGTTTGTTCACCCTGCTTGCTTTGATGTCCCTCACTTAGCCTATGGGGGTGTGTCAAATGTTATTATAGGTTCTTAAGCTACAGTGAGTAGCACTGTAGGGAGTACAACACTTTTAGGGTTGCTATTTGTATCCCTTGTTTCCCTAGTTCACACATTCCGTTGTTCGCTAACTTTGAGACATACATGCCCTTCTGTACCTCCACCTCCACCCCTCGCTTATTCTGCCATATCCCCTCTTCGCTCCCTGTTCCATCACAGAACCATGCTTGCACAGGTGCCCAGCACCATGGGTCGTGGCCTGACAGGAATGGGTAAAAATGTTCCACCTCCTAGCTTTGTGCATGTGCCTATAGTCCACTCTTGGAAACCTTTTTGGAAATATAGCTTGCTTTGTTGCACTTCCTTGTAATGGTCATGTGCCTTTCTGCTCCAAAACACAAAATTGTGTATTACGAGAAGCATCCAACATCAATATATGACAGCTATTTGTCATACGGTACCACTATCATCAAACAACAAACACATCACAACTGGATGCATGGCAGACCTGCACACACACGAACCACATCTCGGATGTGTCAAAGTTGAAGCAGTGGGAAAGGATACAAAACAATGACAATGGAAGGGCAACGGCGGTAGGGAACAAGGAATGCACGGAGGGAGAAAATGAGCAAGGGGGACCCAGAGGAAGGGCGGAAGGGGGGGGAAGATGAAGAGTGGTTGTAAGGGGGGAGAGAGCCGGGAAAGGCACTGAGCCAGAGAATTGGGAGAGGGAATAGATGAAGAAAGGAAGGGGGTGGGAGAGGACGACGTTGGGTAGATGGGTGGAAGGAAGGGAGGAAGGAAGAAAGGGAGGATGGGAGGATGAGAGGAAGGGAGTAGGAGGGTGGGAGATGGGAAGGGGAAGGGGACAGGATCGAGAGAGGATGAGGAGATGGGAGAATGGCAGGAAGGGGACAGGAGGAAGGGAGGGAGGACGACGCATCTACCCTGTCGATGCATCTCCCCATCCCCAAGCTACCCCCCTGTCGATGCATCTCCCCATACCCAAGCTACCCCCCTGTAGATGCATCTCCCCATGAGAGAGGCGGAGGATGAGAGAGGCGGCGGAGGTGAGAGAAGCGGAGGGTGAGAGAGGCGGAGGGTGAGAGTGGCGGAGGGTGAGAGAGGCGGAGGATGAGAGAGGCGGAGCGTGAGAGAGGCGGAGGTGAGAGAGGCGGAGGATGAGAGAGGCGGAGGGTGAGAGAGGCGGAGGGTGAGAGAGGCGGAGCGTGAGAGAGGCGGAGGATGAGAGAGGCGGAGGGTGAGAGAGGCGGAGCGCGAGAGAGGCGGAGGGTGAGAGAGGCGGAGGATGAGAGAGGCGGAGCGTGAGAGAGGCGGAGGTGAGAGAGGCGGAGGGTGAGAGAGGCGGAGGATGAGAGAGGCGGAGGATGAGAGAGGCGGAGGATGAGAGAGGCGGAGGATGAGAGAGGCGGAGGGTGAGAGAGGCGGAGGGTGAGAGAGGCGGAGCGTGAGAGAGGCGGGGGGTGAGAGAGGCGGAGGATGAGAGAGGCGGAGCGTGAGAGAGGCGGAGGTGAGAGAGGCGGAGGATGAGAGAGGCGGAGGATGAGAGAGGCGGAGGGTGAGAGAGGCGGAGGATGAGAGAGGCGGAGGATGAGAGAGGCGGAGGGTGAGAGAGGCGGAGCGTGAGAGAGGCGGAGGGTGAGAGAGGCGGAGGATGAGAGAGGCGGAGGTGAGAGAGGTGGAGGATGAGAGAGGCGGAGGGTGAGAGAGGCGGAGGATGAGAGAGGCGGAGGATGAGAGGCGGAGCGTGAGAGAGGCGGAGGTGAGAGAGGCGGAGGATGAGAGAGGCGGAGGTGAGAGAGGCGGAGGTGAGAGAGGCGGAGGTGAGAGAGGCGGAGGGTGAGAGAGGCGGAGGGTGAGAGAGGCGGAGCGTGAGAGAGGCAGAGGTGAGAGAGGCGGAGGTGAGAGAGGCGGAGGATGAGAGAGGTGGAGGGTAAGAGAGGCGGAGGTGAGCGAGGCGGAGGTGAGCCAGGTGCTTTCGCCTGCCCACGCGATCCCCCCTGCCCATGCACCTCCGCCTATTTGTAGGTCGCATTGCCTTTGCAGGGCAAATCGTGACCTAATGTCGCCGTCGCGTTGCCCAACGCCATCGGTCTGCTAACGTCACAACGCACAACTACATTTCCGGTAATGTCGGTTTCCGCGACTTTAGCTCTCCCATACCTTTCGTAATTCGTGATTAGCGCGCGCCCACTTGTCGGTATGTTGGCTAGTTGGGGGGCTACGCGGGTCTAATAGTGGGTCCTAGAACTCGCGAATAATCAGTAGCGTTTTTGGGACAAGTCTCTCTTGCCTGTGTGCCTCATGTTTACGCAGGTTGGTGTTGAGCGATGTGCCGTGCGATGAAACCAACTGGGCATTTGTCGCTGCTACAGTGTTCTCGTTTGGCGAATGTTCAGGACCAGGTTTGTGTGTTTCATAAGTTTGCCTCCGCTGGAAACCGGGTAACACCCAACCAACCTTAGGAAGCTTGAACCAATTTCGTGCTTCTTGACCCTCCGGTTTTAAAGGGTAGATTGTAGATACAATGAATGTTACGGGGTACTTTACTGTTCAAGGGTATTCTACCCTAAACAGTCCCCCAACCCAATCCCAACCTTATCTCCATCCAATACATTTGTGATTTCCTTGATTTCCTTGTGCCACGTCGCACTCTAGCTTGCATTCTACTTTCTAGTCCCACTGTTGGAGTATGAAGGGAATTGAGTTTGGCATTCACGTAGGTGCAACTGTACCGCACCCGTCATTATCGAAGCAGCGCTAGCAGCAGTATCAGATTAGCCCGTATCAAGGGCAGGAAGGTCAACAGTCGCAAGAGTCAACTGTCGCGACTGTTGACCATCTGTGTCAAACTTATATGACATAGTCTGTGTAGGCTGTAGTGGGGTAGTCAATATAGGGTACAACACTTCAAGGTTTTCCTACTTGTACCCACCTGCTTGCTAATTCTATCATTCCTCGTTTCTATTTTCACATGGTTTCTAGCAGGTTCCCTAGTGGGAACGATATTTTTAGGGCCCACCACGAAATTTCCTACCCTGCCCGAAGCGCGCTGTCGCGCCTGTCTCACCTGCGCCGTCGCGCGCCCTGACCTAGTCGCCCGTCGCGGCCCTGCCCTACGCGTCGTCGCGTGCCTGCCCTCCCTGCAGCCGCCGTCGCGCGCCTACCCTGCCCTGCTGCCCGTCGCGGCCCTACCCTACCCGCTATCGCGGCCCTGCCCTGCCGCCCCACGTCGCGGCCTGCCTCAGCCGCCCGTTGCGGCCCTGCCCTGCCGCCCCATGTCGCGGCCCCTGACCTGCAGCCGCCGTCGCGGCCCCTGACCTGCAGCCGCCGTCGCGGCCCTGCCGTCTCCGCCGTCGCGCCTGCTGCCGCCGTCGCGGCCCCGCCATAGCGGTCCTGCCTTGCAGTCATCGTCGCGCCTGCAGCACCCGTCGCGGCCCTACCCTGCCGCCGTCGCGCCTGCAGCCGTCGTCGCGGCCCCACCGTCGCGGCCGCCGCCGTCGCCGCCTTTGCGGCCCCGCCGTCGCGCCTGCCCTGCCCGCCCCTGGTGAGCACCTGCCCTACGCGCGCTACCCGCACCTGCCTGCCGGCCGAGCCGTGCCGCCCAGCCGAGACGCGCCGCTCCACCGAGCCGCGCCGCCCAGCCGAGCCGCGCCGCCCTACCGAGGCACGCCGCACTGCCCTACTGAGCCGCGCTGCCCTGCCCACGCTGCTCCTGGTGCTACTGTTGTTTTTGCTGCTACTGGTACTATTGTTGCCACTGCTGCTACTGCCGCCATGGCTAGCCCTACGGTTCTTACGTTCGATGCTGAGGGACGTGCAGTTGACTTCAATGTCTGGGTAGATGATCTGCAGCTGTTTCTTCAGTGCGAGTCTCGCTTTTTGATCTCACGTCTGGCGCTTCTGCTGCACCTGCTGCCGATGCTGACAACACAGTTCGCTCGCAGTGGACTACTCGTGACGCTGTTGCTCGCCTTGCTGTTCGTAGTCACCTGCCTTCTGCTGAGCGCGCGCACTTTGGCCAGTACAAGACTGCTAAGTCTTTGTATGACGCTATCGTAGCGCGCTACTCCTCCCCTGCTACTGCTACCCTCAGCCACCTCATGCTACCGTACCTGTTCCCTGACCCGGCCGCCTTTGCCACAGTCGCTGACCTCATTACTCACCTCCACACTAGTGACGCCCGCTACCGCGCTGCGCTCCCCTCCGAGTTCTGCACCAAGAACCCCCCCCCCATGTACATCACCCTCTTCTACCTAGTCACCCGTCTCCCTGACTCCCATTCCTCAGCCAGGGACCACTTTCTCTCCATGTGCCCCACCGAGCTCACCGTCGACCTGCTAGAGGAGCGCCTCACTACAGCTGAGAAGAGTATAGTTGTTGTAGGTGCTTCTCGCGGCGACCCTCGCGCCCCGTTCTTTGAGGGGTGTTCCCCCGTTCCCCTTCTGCCCTCTGTTGCTTCTGCTGCTGCTGTCGACCTCCTTGGCACCGAGGAGGTCGGGGCTGCGTCTGCTCCTAGTGGGAGGCGTTGCAGCAGCAAGGGCAAGGGGGGCAAGGGTGGTGGAGGGGACGGCGGGGGCGGCGGTCGTGGCGGTGGAGGAGGCGGAGGGGGTGGGGGTGGAGGCAAGGGTGGTGGCGGGAGTGGGGGCGTCGGTGGCGGCGATGGAGGTGTTGGAGGTAGCGGCAGTGGTGGTGGAGGCAGTGGCAGCGGCGGTGGAGACAGCAGCGGCGGCGGTGGAGGTGGCGGCGGCGGTGGTGCTGGTCGGGGTGGAGCTGCGCAGCGTAGAGGCTTTGGCAGTAGCCAGCGCCAGCAGCAGCCGCGTTCCCGCGAGACCCCGTCGCCACAGCAGCTTCGTGAGTGGTACGCTGGGCGTGGGAGGTCTGGGGGTGCTGGTCCCTGCACTTACGTTTTCCGCACCGGTGGGCGCCGTGGGGAGACGTGCGGTGGGTCACACATGTCGCAGCGCTGTTTCGGTCGCCTGTCTAACGCCTGGCGCGCACAGTTTCCTGACGTTGCTGAGCTCCCTAGCTGGGCTGATCTGCTTAGGTAGAATGTTGATATCTTTGCTCTTGACTAAGATGACATCCTTGCTGCCATGTATGCTGTGACTATTAGTGCTGAGGGTGACTGTTACCTGTGTGTGCCGCCCGACCCAGGTATAGAGTCTACTGCTCTAGGTGCTGGTGAGGCTGCTGCTCTAGGTGCTAGTGAGTCTGCTGCTCCAGGTGCTGGTGAGTCTGCTCTCTCTGGTACTACGCCTGCTGAGGCCTTGCACACCTTCACACTTGACTCAGGCGATTCCCGATCTTTTTTTCGTGACAGCACCACCCTCACGCCGCTCAGTCGGCCAGTTGCAGTCTCCCTAGAGGACCCCTCTGGGGGCCCCATCCTTACGCACTCCTCCACGGTCCTGCCGTGTCCGGCTGTCCCGTCTGGCTCACTGTCGGGTCTCCACCTCCCCTCGTTCTCTACGAACTTGGTGAGTGGAGCTGCCCTCGAGGATGAGTGGGTTGACCAGTTCACTCCTGGAGGTCAGCGTGTGACCCACTGTACGTGCTCCCGGACTGGTCGGCACCTAGCCACGTTCACCCGAACACCTGGCTCGAGTCTGTACACACTGACTACTGTGTCCCCTCAGGTAGTTGCGTCTGCGTCTGTGTTTGAGTCAGGTCAGCTAGCGCCCCCCTGCTCGTGTCGTGCTTTGTTGCACCAGACCGTCCTCTGGCACCACCGTCTTGGTCAGCCCTCGGTGCAACGCCTTCGTGGCATGCACCGCCGTGTCCTTGTCTCTGGTCTTCCCAAGGTTCTCCCTCCCCTCCCTCCCTCGCCTGCTCCTCCATGTGTTCCTTGTGCCGAGGGGCGGCAGCGCGCCGCTCCTCACTCCTCCTCGTTTCCCACGACGACTGCTCCCCTGCAGACCCTACACATGGACGTGTGGGGCCCGGCCCGCGTCCGTGGACAGGACCGCGAGCGGTACTTTTTGCTGGTTGTTGACGACTACACACGTTACACCATGGTCTTCCCCTTGCTCACCAAGGGTGAGGTCCCTGATGTTTTGATCCCTTGGATCTGCGCTTCCCGTCTCCAGCTCCGCGAGCAGTTCGGGACGGACTTTTCCGTCCTGCGTCTGCACTCTGACAGAGGTGGTGAGTTTGCCTCTGACTTCCTGCGGGACTTTTGTCGTGGGAAGGGCATTCGCCAGACGTTCACGCTCCCGGCCTCACCGCAGCAGAATGGGATTGCTGAGCGCCGCATTGGATTAGTCATGGAGGTCGCTCGTACCTCCATGGTCCATGCGGCTGCCCCCCATTTTCTGTTGCCGTTTGCGGTCCGATACGTTGCGCATCAGCTCAACCTCTGGCCCCGTGTCTCCTTGCCGGAGACCTCGCCCACACTGCGTTGGACGGGGGAGGTTGGCGATGCGTCAGTGTTTCGGGTCTGGGGTTCTCGTGCCTTTGTCCGTGATACTACCGCGGACAAGCTCTCCGCCCGTGATATTCCTTGCGTCTTCCTTGGCTTTGTCCCTGACGCGCCTGGCTGGCAGTTTTACCACCCCACGTCGCATCGTGTCCTGCCCTCTCAGGACATCACGTTCGACGAGTCGGTTCCCTTTTACCGTCTCTTCCCCTACCGCACTGCCTCTCTCCACCCCCCGCCGCTCTTCCTTGCACCAGGTCCTCCTCCGGTAGACCCCCTCCCCCCTCAGTGTCCTGCTCCCTCAGGTGTGTCCCAGGTAGACGCTGTCGAGCCTGTCGAGGTAGCGATTGACTCTGGTGCTGCTACTGGGGGTGGTGCTTTTGGGGGTGCTGAGCCTGAGCGTGCGGAGCCTGGGGGTGCTGAGCCTGGGGTTGCTGTGTCTGAGGGTGCGGAGCCTGGGGGTGCTGAGCCTGAGCGTGCGGAGCCTGGGGGTGCTGATCCTGAGCGTGTGGAGTCTGGGGGTGCTGAGCCTGGAGTTGCTGAGTCTGAGGGTGCGGAGCCTGGGGGTGCTGAGCCTGGGGGTGCTGAGCTTGGAGGTGTTGAGCCTGCGGTTGCTA